GTCATGGATTCATTTACAAGACAACAACGCATTTTAGTTATCCAAGCTTATTACGAAAACGGTCGAAATATAAAATTTATTTAACTAAAACCAAGAGGACAGAAATACTAATATTGATTGAAATAGTATGCTTGATATTCCAATGAAACAAGAGAAAAATTAAAAACAAATAAAACCATAAAACCTAGTTGTTAATTTAAATTTCAAAACAAGATAAAATCTTAAATTGCCGTCCATATACGTACCTATAAAAATGCCTTTTATTGTTTGAATATTAATGTTTGATAGCGAATATTTCGAAGACTATGAGGTCTTCGTGAAAGTATTTTCAATAAGAAATATTCAGAATTTCTCGCAGAGTACAAATATTGAATAAAAATTAATATTAATAAGACAAACAAAAGTTGCTATCACTTTCCGAAAAAGTATAGATTTGGCAACATGGCAGATATCATCAACTGATCTGCCGTGGTTTTGAACCTGAATCTGCCAACTTTATAAAAAATTAGATGAGTCAATCGTCAGATATTTGATGCATCCCAAACTTTTGTTACAGTCTGTACATAAACAACTCTTGGTGCTGAATGATTTCTAAGAAAAAATATAAGTGTATATCAATCTAAATAAAGCATATGTCTATGGTCATGAAAATAATGAGTTACATTCAAGATCGCAGCTTATATAACATTATATTCTGACACCAACTCATTATTAAGGCAATACCTGCATGCATGCTGCTGAATGGTGTTTATGAAAAAAAAAACAATTAACCTGAGCAACGTAAATTGAATATTTACTAATCTGAAAGTACATTTTTCATTGTACATTTGTTGCTTGAGAAAGTCGAGTGTTCCATTAACATTACTCTACACGACGCAGAGCAAGTCTATATCAATCTAAATTGTAAACTGTAAAGTGCTGCTTCAAGCACAATCCAAATCTACCCTCTATGTCACTTCATACACAGTAATATTCCTATTAATTCAAACGGGAGACTCCCAGTGCATTCAGTGCGCGCAGAATACCGAATAGAGCCTCTATTTAAATGATTAATGTGAGTCGGATCTCTGGCAGTTTCTGTATTCGCAATCACTTCTCATATACAGGGTAACCCGAATCAGTATGACGTATAACTGCAGTAACAAATATACTATTTCATCAACAAAGCAACATACAAAACCATACCTCAAAACATGAATCATCACTAGTGACGTCACTCCTGTTTATGATAAGGTATTTGGGGTATTGGCCAACTGCATCTGGTACTGGTATGGCCTTCTGTAGCATCCAGCAGTAGTCTGCCATCTTCATGATGCCTTGATGGAAACGTTCGCCTTGCTCTTCAGTCACAGGCCCAAAATTCTCAGCAAAATGGTCAACGTAGGGTCATCAGATAACCCAATTCTTTAAAAAGATTTTAGCATCATTTGACTATGTTTTTATAATCAGGATGTTGCCCAAAAATGTCTCCACAACATTCCTATACGAACCATCCTTCCCTTTGGAGATCAGTCATGGTGTTGGCAAACTCTTGACCCGCTAGAAGCTTTCTGTTATCTGGCCCAACAGGTACACCTTCTTCTAATTTCGCCTCCGAAAGACTTGGAAACTTTTGAATGATGTGTTTGAAACATTCTCCGTCTTTTGGAGAAATCTGACACAGGCCTCGTTTTATTTGAAGGGGAGGAAGGGGAATTTTATTTGGTGGTATATTAAGTTTTCTAGCAGTACATTGTACCACCTGTACCGACCACTGATTTTTTCCGTCTCGACTGTCCGATAGGCATAAAGAACAAGAAAATTTGGTGTAACCAGCTTGTTGACCTAGCAGCATGCACAAGACCTTCAAATCACAGCATATTTACCAGCATGATCTTCATAATTGAGTTTTTGAAGAATAAGCTTCATAGGTCTCTTTCAAGAACACAGAATGTCCAATGGGAATGGGATCATGGAAACCCCTGTTGTGAAGCTTTTAAGGTGCGCTTCGATGGGTCGATAAACAGACGTCATCGATTGGATTTATACTTGATTCTGAATTTATCCTTCAATATCATTATAATGAACCAGATTTTCTTTTTCGGTAAACAATTATTTTCACGATGTCTGAACCGAGAAAAAGACACCCTAGGTAGTAATAAATTCTTATCCTTGAGTCTGAATCCAAGCACTCAGCAGCATCTTTGGGAAGATCCAGATGTCTCACCAAAAAATTAAGTTGTCTGAGGAGAAGCTACGAAATTTTAACTTATCTTTCAAAGATTGAGGAATTGATCTAAGTAAAAGCTTATGAATAGAACATAATAGAAATAAATTAAGAATATATAACCATTCCAATTTTATGAACGAGGCGGCAAGGCGGTCATATTTTTTCATGTTACAGATTAATCTGCAGCATGAATTTTGAATCTTTTGCAAGCGCTTGACGGATACTGATCTAAAAACCGATAATAAACAATGTAGCAGTATGTAATTTTCTAAATAATTAGTGACCCACAGATATTTTTTTTAGGTTTGTAATCGAAATTTTGTTTGTTCAAGTATACTAAGTGACATATAAATCCGAACACCCAGTTTAAATGGTTTTATTTTAATAAAATTTTGTATAAGTACTTAATGAAGCATAATAAGTAAATGATAAAAATTTCAAAATGATTGCACTGCTTTAAAGCCCTTTGACCTTTAATCATGTGTGGATGCATCCTGATGTGCTACGCATTCTCCAACGCGCCTAGGCATGCTTCTGATCACGTGGTCAATGTCCTCCTGTGGTATCTCATTCCAGGCAACCACCAACTCCTCTCGAAGTGCTTCTAGAGTCTGAGGAGGACGTTGCAAATTGACCAATCTCCTACCCATCATATCCCACACGTGCTCAATTGGGGATAAGTCGGGAGATCTTGGTGGCCATGGTAACAATGTGACATCATTATGTTGAAAGAAGTCTATTGTGACTCTTGCAACATGTGGTCGGGCATTATCTTGTTGGAAAGTTTTATCTGCCAGGGTGTCAAGATAGGGTAAAAGATGGGGTTCTAGAATTTCGTGGATATAACGCCGGGCGAACATGTTACCTCTGATGAAGATTAAAGGTGACCTGGAACCATAAGCTATAGCACCCCAAACCATAACTCCATCAGTGTGATGAACATGTCTTTCAACAAAAAACTGTGTATTCCTCCTTTTACCACGTCGCCTTCTAACCCTGGCACGACCATCGTGCATGCCTAAACAAAATCGAGACTCGTCACTAAAGACAATACTGTTCCATTCCTGATCCCAGAGTGACCGTTGTCTGCACCACTTACGGCGATTACGTCGGTGTAAGGGTTAGAAGGCGACGTGGTGAAAGGAGGAATCCACAGTTTTTTGTTGAAAGACATGTTCATCACACTGTTGGAGTTATGGTTTGGGGTGCTATAGCTTATGGTTCCGGGTCACCTTTAATCTTCATCAGAGGTAACATGAACGCGCAGCGTTATATCTACTAAGTTCTAGAACCCCATCTTTTATCCTATCTTGACACCCTGGCAGATCCAACTTTCCAACAAGATAATGCCCGACCACATGTTGCAAGAGTCACAATAGACTTCTTTCAACATAATGATGTCATATTACCATGGCCACCAAGATCTCCCGACTTATCCCCAATTGAGCACGTGTGGGATATGATGGGTAGGAGATTGGTCAATTTGCAACGTCCTCCTCAGACTCTAGAAGCACTTCGAGAGGAGTTGGTGGTTGCCTGGAATACCACACGAGGACATTGACCACCTGATCAAAAGCATGCCTAGGCGCGTTGGAGAATGCGTAGCACATCAGGGTGCATCCACACATTATTAAAGACAAAGGGCTTTAAAGCAGTGCAATCATTTTGAAATTTTTATCATTTACTTATTATGCTTCATTAAGTACTTATACAAAATTTTATTAAAATAAAACCATTTAAACTGGGTGTTCGGATTTATATGTTACTTAGTATATAATTGCCGAGGTACCAGAAACAAATTTTGTAACCAGTCAACCTTTTACTTCTTCTTGTAAGATATCTTCGCGAGTATAAGCTAATCATTATGAATATGAAAACAAGGATATGCTTATACTTCTACCTTTTTCTCCGAAGCAAGACCTTATACTTTTACCTTATACTTCCGAGGATATGCTTCTCTTTTATGAATACTGCTCATTTAGTCCACCCACCCTGTATAAAGTGCCATTCCGCGAAGCTATAGCGGCAAGAAGAACATCATATGGTGAATGTACACACACACAGTCACACAATGCTTTTGGTAGAAATGGGGAGCGAGAAACACGACGGAATATTATATCGGGGTACGGAATTGTCGCTGTCGCATTGCACGATTGAATTGTTCCTCGTTAACCCTTAGCGAAATCGCAGGGGTGTACATGAATACGTTTTATACAGGGGTAAGCACCACACGAATTTCCACAGTACGTGCAATTACGCACACGATCTTATAGCCCTTGCTGTCAAACTGGAAATGTTCGGTTCAGGATCAAGCGAGAAACGCACCTGATTCCATGAAAAAGAATGTGTATATAACGAAAGATGACGATTACGTCATCATTTTATTCTGTAGTAAAGACAAACGACAGCCATTTGTGAATATTTTTAAATGAAGGTTCAGATGTGTTAGACAGAGACAAACAAAATTTTATTGTCTAAACAAGTAGTATTGCTGAATTGCATGTATCCGATAAAGACAGACGATTTTTGCATGTTTCATGATCGATCACATTTGAAAGATGACAAGTGAGGTTATGTGTATGTCATGTCAGCGTGTTGACAGTTCGTTGCAGGTTAGGTTGTTTTCGAACAATACTTTGGTCGTTGGTGTTCCTGTCTTGAGGTGTATTCTGTTGTGTGTATAACTGTTTTTTTCAAAACAAAAACTCCTCATAAAGATTATGATTAAGGTAGAAACTAAATAATTTCCAACATAAGAGCATCATTTAAGACTTTAATTCTAGTTTTCGCTATGAAAGGCAAAACTCTTAGCTCTCAATCACAGGGCTTGATACTATCCTTGCTGAATTATTTTCAACAAGAAAAGGATAATGTAGGACCTCTATTACCATTGTTAGCTGTCCAAGAGGTTTGTAATAGTTAGAAATATGGTCATATGATTGACAATTTATTCTATATTATTTTTCAGAGGGTGGCTCAGGCACTAAGTATCAGTTTGTCCACTATTACCAGAATACAGCGCCGTTTATCATCTAATGATAATGTCCTAAGCTCACCTGGAAAGAAGAGACCCAGAAAAAAGTCTAAGACAACAGATTTATCTGATGCAGTCAGGCATAATATACGAGATACAGTGTATCAAATATATAGTGAAAGTAATGATAATGAGCGTGAGATGGTACATTCCAAATTATTGATTTTTTGTTTTGTTTCACAGAAACATGTCACAATAGCAAATTTGAATAAAACGCTTAAAGAGAAAGAGCTTGCTTCTATCAGCAATAGCTCTTTACAAAGAGTGCTGCCCACATAGGCTTTAAATATAAAAAAGATGGTAGTAGAAGATTTCTAGTTGAGCGATCCAGTATTGCTTTACTTCGCACCAAATTTTTGAGAAGTTATAATGACTATGTGAACACTTCCTCGCATCAAATTGTTTTCATGGATGAAACGTGGATATTTTCAAAAGGCAGTGGCAAAGTCTTGGCAAGATGAGTCAATAAAAAGTGTAAGGAGACCATTGGGCTTTCAAGGAAAGCGATTTATTGTTGTCCATGCAGGGAGCGAAAAAGGATTTGTTGATGAAGCAAGTCTGTTATTTTCCTCACAGTCTAAATCTGCAGATTACCATGGTCATATGAACGGCGAGACATTCATTAAGTGGTTAAAAGAAAAACTCCTCTGCAACTTGGAAGAGCCATCAGTGATAATTATGGATAATGCATCCTATCATAGCATTTTATTGGAAAAGACTCCAAACACAAGTTCTCCAAAAAAAGAGATTATTGACTGGCTGGTTAAAAATGAAATTGTGTTCCAACCAACATTAACTAAAGTGGAGTTATTGAATATAGTGAAAAGAAATCGTAAGGAAAAGAAGTATTTAATAGATGAAATCATAAGAAGTTATGGACATGAAGTTCTTCGTACCCCCCCATACCAGTGTGATTTTAATGCCATCGAGTTAATATGGGCCAATGCTAAGCAGTATTATGATAGACATATTGGAAGATGTGGTCATAGTGATGAAAATGTTTTAGCTATGTGGAATGAAGCTCTGTCACAAATTACACCAGAGGTTTGGAAAAAATGTGTGAAGCATACCCATGATGTAATTTTAGAGTGGTACAACAAAACTATTACTCGTGAAATAGAACCACTGATAATCTCATTTGATTCAGATAGCGATACTGAATCTGACAGTAGCGACTAATTTTTAATCTGAATTTGACCATAAGTAATGGAATAACATATTGAAATGTACAGTTTATTTTATTTGATATATGTTTTATATAATTTTGTAGATTATGCTAAAATGAATAGTGGATGGCATGACATGAAATAGTACAAAAATATTTTCACTTTGGTATGCTTATTTGTGTTTGTATTTTTTTTATAAAATAAAACCATGTTCTCAAAATCAATTGGTCATTTTAATGGAGCTGATACCAATGTATTATTATGATTTTGCTAAGAACTCTAGAGACTCAACAATATTAGATGAAAAATAGGTTCAAAATACGTACTATTATTGTGAACAGAGGAAATGCTGTTTTTTTTTTTAATAAATATGTAATTTTTTTGCAAATAGAAGTCTTAAAATGTAAATTTGTGCACGGATAATGATAATTTAAAATCATGAAATAGAATAAATAAAAGTAATCACTGAAATCAGCTAACTTCGATCACATGTTCCTGACATCGTAACCTTATCATCGACGTACGTCCGGTAATTATTTCGTTACAATTTATGGTATGACGTAATCGTCATCTTTCGTGATTTTGACTATATCATTAGTTGTAGTCACCGTTCTTGGCGGTTACGTCATCAACGCCTTATGAAATAGTAAACAGATCGAGTCTCCGTACTACGAGCGGATCTTAAGCTTCAACGCATCTGCTACTCTCTCTAGTACGCATGAAGTGGGTAACAGGCAACAGCTGTATTCATTCTCTTCCTGGAAATACTCTAGTAAATTTTATATTGAAGTTTGATAACAAGACAACTTAAATTGCACGCCGATGTCAAGTAAGTTGTCACTCAGACTGATATGATTGAAGTTAACTGCTACGTAACGGCAAAGTTTTCGATACGCAGACACACAACTAAAAAACGTATGTTTTTGATCTTACCGAACAAACGTTAACACACAGGGGTAGTATGTTGCATGTGTTTGTATGATTGAGATGAAGATATATTAAGGAATACTCGTAGTCTTACTTTGACCCGCCGAAAACAGATGTAAGTCCAAAACTCAAAGTTTTTAGTAATGAGCGAAAGAAGTGAACATTTCAACAAAGTTTGAATGCAAAAATTAGATTTTCAAAATTGAATATTACCTTGGTTATGATTGTTTACTATGATATAAAGCTAAACTAGTACATTTTAATAGTCATAAGCTCAACACTGCGTCAATTTCGACTTAAGACTGTTTATCTCTGACCTACAGAACTATATACAGGATGGCAACTCAGTTTTTTTTTAAACGCTCAGAATCGTCGATTTTGTTTTCGAGGGGGACACAAGTTTAGCAAAAAATCACGTTAGCATGTGCAGCCCCCTAAGCGGGGATGACACCACCCCCAAAATCCTAAATGGAAAGGGGGGTCGAGTAATACCTTACATCACCATTAGTGGAGATCAATACATTTGGCAGCAAAGTAATTTAAAAATGAAGAATGAACTGACCCGTTAGGCAAGTAAATGTTGAAAATGGCCACCATGACTCTACATGCAATATAATAAAGATTTTGCTAAAAACGTTGCCGCACATTTTTCAATATTTGAGGAGTAATTTGAAGGCACTCATTCACAATTCTTTGTCACGGGTCTTCTAATGATGTTGGCTGAGTAGCGCACTGATTATTTCCTAAAAATATTTCGATAATTTCAACTCTTTCTGCTGTCGAATATACCATGGTTAATTTATGTAATAAGCGTTACAAGTTATTTCAGCAACAAAGTTTGGTCAAATCAATCGCAAACTATGTACTAAATTCCTATTTAAAATAAGTACGAGATATTTCCTTATCTTTCTTCAAGAAATAACTTTTTTGCCACAAAAAACGCTCCAATAGCTATTTTCAACAACAAAATGATAAACAAACCATGGGCATAGTGAAGAAAAGCATTTACTTATTAAGTAAATTCTTTTAGTCAAATTTCTTCTGAAAGTAGTACAAACTAATCTGATGTACCTATTAAAGTCTAATTTAAGCTTTATATCAATAAATCTTCAAAACTACTGAACTGAAGCTCATGTATTTTACATCATTATAAAGGGAATTGAAAGACCTTTAAAATAAGGTATCACTCGACCCCCCTTTCCATTTAAGATTTTAGGGTTGGTGTCACAGCCGCCCAGGGGGCTGTACGTGTTAACGTGATTTTTTGGCAAACTTGTGTCCCCCTCGAAAACAAAATCGATGGGTCTGAGCGTTTTTCCAAAAAAAAAACTGAGCTGCCAGTAAATGCGTCTGTTTTGTTTTCAATGCGCCACCCTGTATGTGTTTGCAAGGGCAAGGGTCATTCTTCACTTCCAAGATTGGAAAAAATGCCTCATTTTGAAGGTGTTATAATAATATGACCGGCAGTAACCTTTACCGTATTTTCAAAGTAGAAACGATTTAAATTTTTTATACAAATTTCACTTATTCAAGCCATTTTTTCCACAATAATGTGACAACGATCTCGCAAGAAAGGAGATTCACATCGAATCCTAAATATCGGTTTTAAAAAGAACAAAACAAAAATATCACACTCATACAGCAATATCAAAGTTGTCGATATTATTTAATTTACGGTGAGGATCTTTTAAATGCTACAGAAGCTTCGCGAGTGCATGCAGATCGTTATATATTTTTTTTGCTTGGGCTGGAATGAAATGTTTAATGTATGAAACTGAGGTGAAGACTGTTGACGAACTACATGTGCAAATCTGCAGCATTCGTTCGAGAACGCAATCCATTTCAAAAGCCTACACGGATGCTTGACTGTTCAATTAACGGTCGGTACCTTTTCATTAATTTTTATTTACCCTTTCACTGTTGTCGAACCACCCATTAGCTTTGTTATTACAAACGTATTTGACATTGAGGACAGTCTCAAGTTTCAGTACGACCTGTACATTTATATGTATTAAAATGTCTGTGTCCTGAGCTGACCGAATTCCTGGTGAGTAGCACGGCTATGAACATCATTCGTGCATATTTGATATATGTATTTACGTGACAAATTAAGGAAGGCACCCCATCAGGTTTGCCAACGATATTGTTTAACTTACCCTTCGTTGGTAGTGGTGTAGCTTCTGGGGATTTCGCAGCGTAATTTCATAACTTTGGGGCAGATGCGCGAGCGTGCCCTGAAAACGAGGTTGGATTTTAATGAATTGTAAATAAAACGGTCCATCTGGGTAAATATAGAAATGCATCTGGAAAACTCAAATAATAAGGATTTATCGAAACACTCCTTATACACCCCACCTAAATCGAAGACTACGTATTCTAGCAAAATCTACAAACAAACTTTGTAGTATTCGAAGGGGCAAAATGATGGTGACCTTGACAATGACCTTGACTGCGACCTTTGAGGTCCGTTCAAGATCGAGTTAACACGTTGACTGCCACCTTTTTTCGCTTGGTTTTACCCAGGAGCCAATTAGTTGTATAATGGTTAATTTGTTATTTTGGTAGTATAACTTCGTTCTTTTAATTACAAGATTTTTGGTGGCTCTTCTATGAGCCAACGGCACTGACTTGCAAATCGGTTTCCTGTGTGCCAGCTGGCGCTTATAAGAAGATAATTATTTGTTTTTTATAATAGAAATAAACTAAAAGCAAAAAAACATTTATTATCGACCGTTAACAAAAATAAAATATTAAAAATAATTTTTGTAACTCAAAATAGTAGAGAACATATAAAAGTATAACAAAAACTTTACCGATAAATAATGTGATAAAATCTAACCAAAAATAAGAAATTAAACAACTTTTTTTTAAAATACAAACATGAATTTGTGATGAATACAGTGCAAAAAATTATTTGTGAATAATGTCACTGCACCCCAAGCAGAATCCTGGAACATCAGGGCATGTTCTACATTCGTACATCATTTGTGTACGGATTCCCCTCTTGGTACAAGACTGGCATCTTTTCTGGATACTTGTTTTTTACCATCTAAACCACGTTTTACTAATTTGTGCCCTTGAGTGCCTGCAGTATTGTACCAGCGGCACCGGCGAACATCTCTTAAAAGAGCCAGCGGCAGCG